CACTGCGATTAACAAAACAACCACTCGTTGTCCAGGTAACAATTATTAATCAGTAGTGATAATACCAGTGATAATATTACAGATATGCACTGATTACCTACTGCATCGCAGCAGATGCCTATGTGGACGGAGTACCACGTGTACCGTTATCGGTGAAGAGTGAATTGGTCGATTCCACATTGGCATTATCGCCAGCAAATGACCAATCAATGATGCCGTTGTATCGTAGTGGCAATCCGAATTTTGCACAACCGTTCACATCGATTCATAATCGTTTACATCAGGATTATGCTGCAGTTAGTTTGTATCATCATTCTTATAACATCCTGTCGTACCGATTCATTCTTTCATATCATGCCGTGCGATATTATTCCGGTTTTTTAAAATACACATTATATCTAGTAGAAATTGAGTAGATGGTTTGATATTTGGTTGAATGATTCGTTTTTAAACATTTTTCAATGAAACACTTCAGATTTTTGATAGCGATGATGATTAGCCTGCTAATATGTTGTATTTTAAAGTTTTTTGTTTTTAAAATAATTGAGGTTCATGGTTGATTACTAATATTATCTTGATATGTCAACGTATAATGAGCAAATTAAAGGAATACGAGGATTTCTACTCGGATTATGAACATTCGGAAATGATATCAGCGGGCGATTTGACTATTCGTGATCACATGTTCAGAAGACGTCCACAGGTCATACTTGATTTACCGCCACTGGATGATGAGTGAGTTGTTCGGAATATCATTGTTTTGTTGTTATCAATTTTTGAGTTGCTCTTATCGTTGTTCAGCACTTATTATTACTTTCATTTTGAAAAAATGTAATGAGATTTGTTATGATCGAGAGTGCTATGGCTATCGCTTTAGTTTAGTATTGTCGTTTATGCGTCAATTTATTCGATGTGATACTGTATTGCAGTACGCTGTGTAAAGTGACGTTTGCACCAGTCTACAAACAAGTCTACATTCATTCGATTAACTCAGTTCCGTTGGATCTTCTGCTGCAGGAGCAGTTCGTTTTTATTTCGTTTATTNTGTACATTCGTACCAAAACTGAATCCGTTAGGGTGCGGTGCGGCGATAACGTTCGTCGTCGATACCACTAAAGTACCAGTATGTGATTTGAGCACCGATAATTTGGGTATATTACTTTTATCATGTTTGATTATCATAAAGAAATATGAACGGTATTAAGGGCGATTCATGTTTCTCTTTTTGCTTATCAAAGATGTCGATAGCATCTGATCAAGTGAAATCGCTCCTCAAACAAAAGAGAAGCAAATTTGGTTGGAATTCATGAATAGATTAGAGCGTAACCAGCTTTCAAATTATCTCGAATTCCATTTGCATAAAATGGAAATGTGTATATGTAAATAACGTGATGATGGTGATGTACAATTTACAATGATGTGCATGCACTGAATTTAGTAGGTACTGAGTTGAATATGTTCTTGAATAAAAGTTACGGTGTTGTTTTTGAGAAAAAAACTGGATTGAAGGTGCTTGGAATTCAAAAGAAGGTCGCCGTATGAATGTGCGTAAGTTCTACTACAAAGAAAAGTCGAAAGGCAGCGAGGGCGATCATGATTTCTGCGTGGTTCAACGCGTTTACGTTCATCCGTATTGTCGACCACCAGAATCAGTGCGAAAGATGATTTGGATTGTTAAGAAAGAGGGTGTTTATTGTAGGTACGAATTGCATTCATTCATTTAAGATACTTGATTAACAAATATCCAACTATATCACACATGAAATAGTTTACCTATAAATTTTAGCTCATTATAATATAACGAAATGGTAATTGATTGAATGAACTTTCATTACAGATATGCGTTGATATCCTACTACTTGGCACCAGGCTCGGATGTGCCTCCATTACCGCATGGCAATTCAAAGAACAACCAACTGGCATACGTTCGAAAATGTCCGAGTGAAGTGGTGAGACGTTCGAATGTTCGTGGTAGCAGTAGTGGGATGATCACGAAGGGTACTGGTAAGAGGAGTGGAGGTGATCCAATGAACAGTGCTGACGGCAGCGCCAACAATAACACGGATTCATCGGCGAATATATCCGACATTGACGACAACACCGAGGTGAGTGAATATTTGCTTTTAAATCTGATTTATTTTATGTGTTGTTATGAATATAAGTTATCAACTGAGTGCATATTTATCAGGTGAATGTGGAGGCGATGTCCGATGATGAGCAGATGAGCAAAGTGAATGTGACCAGTCCGGATAGTCAGGCGAAATTCTTTGCGATTTCCGATGAGTACGTTCATCAATTTCGTATTGTTTCATTCCTTTTGCACGGTTCACTTTCAGCCATTTTCTTCGCGTATAACAATTGATATTTATTAATCTATCACAAATTTGCACGCATCTACGATGTATTTATTTATTATGTAAATACGACCGATTACTATGAAATTGAATGTGATAGCAACGTATAAACCTCGTATCGATGTAGCAAAGCACACACTCTTAAACATACAGATCTAGTTGAGACCCCTTACAGGCGTGTAAGTGGGTCTGAAAATCAGACCGAGGTTTAAATTCGAATCTAATTGAAGCTTACCTAAGGAACTGAAATATATCTTTTCAAATAGGTGCATCCGGAGGGGGTTCATCATTAGCCAAGCAGACTGATCTATGTATGAAATTATTAAGTGATGAATACAAATATTGTATAATTAACCAATTTGAAGAGAGATGACCGAGCGTATAGCGCAACTGACAAGTGCAATACCGTTCACGAGAACGTTTATCGGTTCGATTAGCGTTCTACCGGTGGGCATTCTGAGGGCTGATTCGTTGTTAGTTGTCATTTTGTTTTTATTATCATTAACATATCGTTTCTTTTCGAGTTTGTTTTGTTCTGTTTGTTCTTTGGTTGAAAATTCATCACGTTGCCGTGATTCGTCAAATTGTAATCGAAAACTTTCATGCGATTAATGAAGCATATTGCTGAATCGCACTCACTTAAGAATTGAGTTAGCGAACGAGACGCTTTTGCATTTGAATTTTTGAGTTGGTGATAGTTTGGTGATGGAATTGAAGTTTTTGTTTTACGTGAAATCAACGAAGAATTTAAAGGGCC